AAAATAGCTCGAATAGTTTGTTGTTACAGTTGTAAATTCCTACAGGGTTTTCCCTGGTGTGTTTCAGAAGCCTGAAAACAAGCACTGATACCAGCTTGCAGCTCTTCCCTGCCTCGCAAGTTCTTGCCACCAACCTCCTCACTCTCTCTGTCTTTATTTCTCTCTCTTCTCACTCTGTCTCTCTGTCCCTGTCTCTCTTTTTTTGCCATCTCTGTCTGTTTCACTCCTTCCTCTCTCTCTCTCTCTCTCTCTCTCTCTCTCTCTCTCTCTCTCTCTCTCTCTCTCTCTCTCTCTCTCTCTCCTGCGCACTTGCATTTTCCAACATTCCTCTTCAACCCTGCCCCACCCCCACCCATTCATGAAGCACTCTCCACGTGTGCCAGGTGCCTCACAGATAACATCTCACTTTCTTTCCCAACCACCTGAACTGCCTCATTTGTACTTTGAGAGGAACAGTACTCAAGAGCATGGGCTTTGGGATTGGACTTGGCTGGTTCTAGACCGGCTCTTCCATGTACTAGCTGTGTGACCTTGGTCAAGGTGTCTAACCTCTCTGAGCCTCAGCTTCCTTATTAGCAAAATGAGGTGAAAATGCCCCACTCAGAGGATTGATTGCAAGGATTAAATGAGATAATGCTTGGAAAATGCTAGCACAGTGGTAAAACGCAGTCAATGCGAGCTCTGTCATTACTAGCCATTCTACGATAGTGATTGCTTTTGTGTCATCTTCCAACATTATTAGTACTCAGGTGTCTTCATGGAGGATGGTGAACACCCCTGAACTGAGTATTTCCCCTTAAGGATCATTCCAGCGCCTTCCTTACCAAAATCCGTGACCATCCAGAGCCTGGCTTCCTCTGCCTCTGACTCTCCATTCTTTGGTGCCCACTTTCATTTGGGTAGGATCTATCTAGATAGAGACATCTCCAAACCTGCCCTCCCCAGAAAAATCATCTGATGAACTTTTAGTAATTGTGAACACCTAGGGTGAATCCATCCATCTGATTCATTGGTCTGGGTGACACTAAGGATGGGTATTTTTTTAAGCCTCCAGAGTGACTCTGATTGGAGAACAAGCATTGGAACTTCTAGTCTAAATTGAATGGATGCTCACGTGATACTGAATGAATGAATGAATAATAGGGGATCATAAATGAATAGATGAGTGAATGGATGAATGATAGGTCTACCTCCATTGAAAGAGATGTTAGTATTTTCCCCGAGACCTGTGCTCCGGCCTCCAAAATGTGTGCCCATGTGTTCCACAGCTTCTCAGAGCAGAAAAACTTAGTTGCTTCCCTGGCCCTTCATTTCCTTTGCCTTCCCCTGATCTCACCCTCCATCCTTTCCCTTCCCTGGTGTCCATTTTCTCCATCTTCTTGTCGCCTCCCCCACATCCTTTCCAGTTTCCCACTTTAGTCCTTTTCACTCCCACTTTCCCTCTTGTCCGCTCTCAACCATGCTCACCCCACCCCCCATGGTAACAGTTGTAAATCGGTGGTCTTTTCCTCATCCCAAGACACTTGTGTGAGAAGAGGATTTGAACACAATAGTTACACAAAACAGATTTATTTGATGAACAACAGTGACCAACAGTGTCAGAAAATAGCACAGACATTCCAAAGAAGGGGTGGGTTAAGGATGAGAGAGCGTCACAGCAGGCGGCCTCCTCCACCCTCTGTCTAGGACCACTGATGATTTCCAGGCAGGAGGTCTCTACAGGCCACCCAGGAGGACCTCAAAGGAGTACCCTCTTCCCTTTAGAAATTTCTTCCAGTCTTGACTGAATGCTTTGAGGACAGCCCTGGGCCAAGAAAGTGAGTCTGTGGAAGATTCTGGCCTGTGTTGGGAAGACTAACCTTCCCTTCTCCTCCACCCCCTGCTCCCAGAGTAGGTTCCATCCCAGTGATGGCCATGATGTCCATTTACACCAAGCTAGACTCTTCCTGTCTCCATGGCTCATGTCTTGTCCTCCACATCCAGAGTCCTCCAAGAACAAAACCCAGAATGTACTCACCCTGTCCCCCGCTCACAAAAGCCCCACCATCAATTTCGCCCTCAAGGTCTCTCTGGTGGTGTAGATGTTGTGCCATCAGCCCTGCCAGGGCTGCTCCACTCACTGTTCCCAGCCCCTCAACCCAGCAGGAGAAGCCAAAGGGCCTGATACAGATGGTGAGGTGAGAAAAACCCCACCAGTGCACTTCACCCCATGGCAAGCAGGTGCCCCCTTAGGAAGAGGGTCACAGACCCTGGACAAGGGAGCCTGATGAAAGAAACACCCATAAACTCAAAGCAAGGTGGAAAGGCGTGGGAAAGGGACGGAGGGAAGCTCTTCACCAGCCTCCTGTTTCCCTCACGGAACTAGGGAAGGCACGGGGACCCAACACGCAGGACACCCCCAAGCCGTGGGCACCAGCTGCTCTGGGGAGTACTCTCCCTACAGGGAGCCCGGAACGAACACACAGACTTCTCTCTTAAAGCACGGACCAGCCGTCTGAGCCCCCAAATCCAGTGGGGGGTGGGCACATTTTTATTCTATATTGCCTCAATATGTCCATTCTTCCCTCAAGGATACTGTGTGAAGAATGGCGATGTGGTGGAGAGGAAGGGGGTTGTTCATCCAAGAGACAAGTGACACAGCCACACTACTCGTCATGCTTTGCTCATCAGGCTTACGCGCGCGCGCGCGCACACACACACACACACACACACACACACACACACACACACACACGGCAAGCATCTACACAGCAGCCAAAGTGATTCTTGGCACTGAGTAGCCCCAGTGCCCGAGAAAAACCTCCTGGGAGTGACGGGGTGGGGAGGGTCGGGGACTGGGAGAGACCTACAGCTCAGCTTTGGGGGCGGGCGGGGCGCGCCAAGCAGCACGTAAAATAAATGCAGATGCCCCTCTTTCTCCCAACTCCCCGGAGATTCACATAATGAAACCAAGGAGCCCGTTGCCTCGTCAGCCCCACTGCCTCCCAGTTACCACAGAGAATAGAGGATGAATGAAAGGGTCTGAGGACATCTGCAGAAAGCACATCTCGTTGGCATTGCGGAGGGGCTGCGGGAAGGGAGGCCCCTTCTGGAATCGCTCTACCCCCCAGTGCCAGACATCCCAGAGCATCCATCCAGTTTGGGGGAAAGTTCTGGAGCTCCGTCTGCAGACTGCAGCGCTAGCTCTTTGCTGACACCCAGCCCACCCCCGCCCCAGCCCATTCCTTTGGCTTTCCCAGGGAACAGGATAAAGAGCTTGAACTGGAACAGTGTTTACAAGCGTCAGGATTCTTAACCCTTAGGAGCCCTTCAGAACAAGGACGTAAAAAGCGGAGGAAGAAGGGATTGAGGGCGGGGGACAAGCTATGGAAGAGAGGGTGGGAACCAGAGGTAAGGATTCAGAGTAAAAATTGCAGAGACAGAGGGGAAAACAGAGGGAGGAAGAGGGAAGAGAAAAGTAAAAAGAAAGGAGAAAAAAGAGCTGGAGATCCAAGAAAACGGGGGTGGGGGGAAGCGAATTTTTATTGAGCCAGACACGCACATCATTTTGTGGTAGATGCGGCTTCCCCCATGTTACACAAATGGAGAAACTGAGACGTTAAGAGACTTGTGCAAAGTCGACCCCACCGATATTGAGCGGCTGAGCACGGGTCCGCAGGGCTCAAACTCCTTCCACAAAACCTCTGACCAAAACTAAAGGAGAAACGAGGACAAGAGGGAGGCGGGAGGCAGGGGACGGGGAAAGAAGTCAAGTGCAAGAGACAAGGTGCCCTCACGCGACCTGACTTTCACAGAGAGAGAGCGAGGGCGAGGGCCGGGGCAGGGCACAGGACACCGGGCGCCAGGCCACCCTCGGATGCCAGCCCTAGTCAACCACAAGGGTCTCTTGGCTGTAGGGGATGGATTTCTCCTGCGTCTGCTCTCCGCCCTTCCCGGAGTTGGGGCCGGGCCCCTGGCTGTGCCCTGAGGAGTAGCTGGCGGACTTCTCCGCGCTGCTGCTGTGGGAGGCGCCCCCGCACCTGCTCTGACCCCAGCAGAGCACGGAGGTGCATGCCTGGCGGAAGCGCGGGTCGAAGAAGGCGTAGAGGAAGGGATTGAGGCAGCTGTTGATGTAGCTGATGCAGGTGCAGTAGGGGAAGACGTTCATGAGGAAGAGGTCGAAGCCGCAGGGCCAGTGCAGCAGGCTGCCCAGCATGTAGAGCGTCTTCACCAGGTGGTAGGGCATCCAGCACAGGGCGAAGGTCACCACCAGCACCACGATGATGCTCAGCAGCCGGCGCCGCTTGCGCAGGCCCTCGATGCGCTCCTTCCGGAAGTGGCCGGCGATGGTTTGCGCGATGAAGAAGTAACAGGTCAGCATGATGGTGAAGGGCACCACGAAGCCCAGGGCCGTGGACGAGACCCCTAGGCCCACCTCCCAGGCCCACTCCGAGCTGGCGGTGGCCACCATGGAGTAGTCCATGTAGCACTGCACCTTGGTGATGTTCTCCAGGTTGGGCACCACCGCGGTGGCACGGAACACCATGACTGGCACGGCCAGGAGGGCGGCCAGCACCCACAGGACCGCCGTGGCCACAGCCCCGCTGACCCGCAGCCTCAGCCGAGCGTTAGCCACTGGCCTCACGATGGCCAGGTAGCGGTCGAAGCTGAGGCCGGTGAGGCAGAAGACGCTGGCATACATGTTGACAAAGATGACATAGCTGCTGAGCTTGCAGGCGAAGGAACCGAAGGGCCAGTCGTAGTCCCGGTACGTGTAAGTGGCCCACAGCGGCAGGGTCACCACGAAAGTCAGGTCAGCCACCGCCAGGCTGGAGATGAAGATGTCAGCGGACCGCCTCTTCTCCCGGCTGGTCCGAAACACGGTCCAGAGCACCAGGCCGTTGCCCGTGGTGCCCAGGAGGAAGACCAGCATGTAGATGGCCGGGATGAGGGCCCCCGAGGACTTCCAGTCCGTGTACTCACACTCAGACTGGTTGTCTGCCCCATAATCATTGTCGAAATCGCCACCTTCCTCCATGCTGGGGGGCAGAGAGAAGACGGGCAGGGGATCCCCGGGACAACCAGCTCAGTGGCTGTGTCACCAACTCGGCAAGCGCCCAGAGCTTCTGGCTTGAGCCTTGGAAGGCGGGTGCAAAAGGGCCGAAGGTGTCCAGAGCCCTTCCCAGCAGCAGGAGGAGGTTGCCTGCGCCTGCAGACTTCCCTCCACCCTCTCCTGCCTTGTCCCAGCCTCAGCTAAGACACTTCCTGAGCCCTCCTGAGTCTCTGTCTCCTCCTTGGCTTGTCACTCCCTCCTCCCACCTACAGACCAACCCCTCACTTGTGAGTCTTAAGATATTTCGGTTACAACCCACTTTTCTTTTTTCCTTCAAGTCACTGGGCAAATGGCAGAACGTTATCTGTGCCTTGGCCCGGCTCTCCTGCTGGCTCCGCCTCTATCCCTCTGGTTTCCTCTGGCCTGTGGAGTGCCCCCTCCTCAGTTCTCGGCCACCCTCCTGTTCTCACCTCCTCCCATTCCCTCTAAATGGGGCAAATTATGCAGACTGAAATCCAGCCTGCACTGGAGCCAGGGCGGGCAGGGGGCAAGGAGAGTGTGAGATTTCGCAGGATGGTCTGAGCATCTGGCCAGCCCTCCTGGCAGGCCTGTCTGGCCCCTTGGGTCTGTCCCATCCTCCCCTCCTTCCCTCCCAGACTGCACGGTTACTCCTCTGCTCATGTCATGCTGCTTTACCCCTGGGCTTTGACCCTCCCTCTGGAAACGTTTACGTTTTGTTTACGTTTTACAGACACAGTTATAGGGAGCTTTCTCTAGAATTCATAAGCTGTTGGCAGATAGAAGTTTGCAGATGGCATAGAAAGTTTTAGAAAGTCAGGACAGAGTCACAGGATGCAAGAAACCCCAGACAAAAGGATCTCTAATAGAGTCATTAAGTCTGTGGGGAAACTGAGGCCCAAGGTTACAGGATGAATTTTGTTCTAGTTTCGTTGTTTGCTTTTCTTCTTCTCCAAGCACCTAACACAGTGCTTAACATGTAGTAGGTGATCACTAAATGGTTGTTGAGTGAATAAGGGATGGACGAGTAAGGGAGAGAATGAAAAGAGGAGTCCATATATAGAGGAATGAGTGTATGAATTACTATATGCAGTGAGAACATGGATACATTTCAGTCCTCAGGTTCTTACTTCCCTTCATGGACCAGGAGGTTTCTATAAAGCCATATGGGGACAGAAAGTGACAACTACAGGAGGAGGCAGAGAAAGGGGCAGTCACTGAGTCTACGTCATGGGCACAATCTCATGGAAACTCACATTGCTCTGTTTTCCCCCCCACTCCAGAAACTCTGGGCAGGAAGGAGGGAGGGATGCACAAGATAAGATAAAAATATTCACCACCAAGAATGGAGGAGGCCATCTAAAGTTGGGCAGGGGTGAGATGGAGCAAAATCAGGAGACGGGTCTTGCCTACATCCAAAGCCAAGAGTTTACAAAACTAGAATCCATTGCCTCAAGGGAGGCTTGGTCAGAAAATCTCCTGCAGAGGTCATTAAGCAGGGACCTCCAAACTCAAATACCCACAGAGACCAGGCTAAGAATGTAAATGGGTAAAACAGCCAGTTTGAGACAATAAGGAGTGGTGGAGACTGCAGCAAACAAGAGCAAACACACTCCATCAAAAGGAGGTCTCCTCAGCTCCCATCTCTGATTGCCAGCATTTCCACGCCTTTTGGTTTTCTTAACATAACTTCAAATTTTGGATTTTTATGAGAATTTTCCAGATTTATAAATGTGGGATATTAATTCCATTTTTTAAAAGATAGGGCAGTGCAAGGAAAACATGTCCTCGGGCCCCTATTTGGTGCCCTTTGAACAGGGGCTTGCCAGGAATATAAAGTGGGAGGGAAACAGGGAAGGATAGGCCAGGAGGAAGAAATATAAAATGCAAAGATAGAGAAATGAAAAGAAGCACGGTCAAAGCCTGAGGGTGCAATGGAAGAGCTACAGGAGAGGGGGCTGGAGAGAAAGACGAGACAGGTCCACGGGTCTGCGATGGCCTTCACCTAAAGGCCGTGTGTGAATGAGAACATTGGTGTTTCACCTGGGGATTAGATATGGAGCAGTTACTACGTGCTAGGCATTCTCTTAAACATTTTATATTTTATCTGTATTTATTTCCTTTAATTGGCAAAACAACTTTAGGAAGTAAGTGCTCTCATTAATCTCAATTTACAGATGAGGAAGCTGAGGGCGGGGAAATAACTTGGCCAAGGTCACCCAGCCAGTAATTGTGAGACTCGGAATTTGAACCAAGGCTGTCTTGGGTCCATGGGCTCAACCACCGTGTTCCCAAAGGGAAAAAAAAACCTCCAACCCTTTTTAGATTAGGGCGTTGGTCATCCGTTGAGCATTATAGAAATGTAGGATGAGAGATTTATATGATCTGAAGAGGAGCCAGAGTAGTTTCTGCTGAGAAGGCTGATGATAGTCTAATGGGCATTTCCTTATAGGTTACTGCATTTTTTTACCCTCTGGCTGCCTTGAGAATTCTTTCTTTGTCAATTGCAGCATTATTTAGGGTGGCCAAGACATGGAAACAACCAAAATGTCCTTCAATAGATGATTGGATTAAGAAGAAGCGGTGTATCTGTACACAATGGGCTACTCCTCTGCCATCAGAAAAGATGAAATGCTGCCATTTGTGACAACACAGATGGAGCTCGAGATGATTATGCTCAGCGAAATAAGTCAGACAGAAAAAGTCGAGAACCATATGACTTCACTCAGATGTGGGATGTAAAACTGAAAGCAACAAAAGAACAAGACAAACAAAGAAATAAACAAAAACTCACAGACACAGACAACAGTTTAGTAGTTACCAAAGGGTAAAAGGGGAGGGGGGATGGTAAAAGAGGGTAAAGGGGGTCAAATATATGGTGATGGAAGGAGAACTGACTCTGGGTGGTGAACACACAATGTGATGTATAGATGATGTATTATAGAAATGTACATGTGAAACCTCTGTCATTTTACTAATCATTGTCACCCCAATACATTTAAAAGAAAGAGATGTAGGATGGTGCTAGGATGCCTGTAATTTACTTTGAAATAAGCTCTTTGGGGTGAAATTAAAAATGGATTGATTAAAGTATTCCAGAGAGACGCCCTACTGTTGATTGAACAGGGTATAAGAACCCTGCCAGACAACAACAGTCTGTACAGTACCCTTAGGGTTGGCACTGAAACAGGGCCGGGTGGGACCCCCTGCCTCGCGTGTCCCTGTCCTAGAGTTTAACAACTGATCAACCCCCTCCCTGCAGTTTAAGGTTGGAATGTCCCCCTTTCCAGTTCCTGAGTTTGGAATATCCCCCGTCCCAGTTCCCTGCTTTAGATAGTTACCCTGAAACTTGTGCTTGCTTGCTTACTGATCACAATACACCTTGGTTATGATCACAATCTCTATGGCCTAGCGTTCTTTCCAGGCTACTGTCATCACTGCTCCTGGGCTGATGACCGCGTTGGAGAGTCACATCACCCGAGGGAAGGCTGCAGACCCCAGAACCATTGCATAGCCTCTGAAGGAACGCCCAGATTTTCCCTTAAATACCCCAAGCTGGTCTGAGAATGGTAAGGCAGTTTTTGGAGGTGTTAACCCCGCTGCCTTCTTAGACCACCAGTGCTCTAATAACAAACGCTTCTTTTATGACCCAACTCCTGTGTCGGTCTATTGGCTGAGCGGTACAGGCAGCACGAGCCCCGGACTCATCTGGCCTCCAGTTTCAGCACCATGGCTTGACCCAGAAACGGTCCTGTTCCCTGCCATTCCCAAAGATGATTATTGGTTGCCTGATGCCAGCTCAGCCTCTGGAATCTTGGCAGTCTGCAAAATGCCAGTTGGGACACCCAGAGCCGGAGCTTCATGGATCTCACAGCACACAGGGTAGGTAGGAGCTGCCTGAGGCCTTGCTTGCTCTTGCACGTTTGTCTAATAGAAGCCTATGCAGGTGCCAGGATGGCTTAAAACGACTTACAACCTGACAGCAAGCTTGAGTGGTGGATGCCAGACTTCAACCGCGTCAGACTTCTTCAACCTGGACTGATCAAAAGGGACCTTAGAGTTGAGCAGAGACCTGTTTGGCTCAGGTCAGCTCACAATTGATGTCCCTGTAATGAATAAAAAATAACTGCTCAGGACATTCCAGGATAGAGGGCAAGTTCGAGACCCCCCCAGTGAATCCTGATCTTCTCTGCTGCTCCAAAAAAAGATTTAGGTACCCCTGTCCTTTGCAGCTAGAAGCATAGACGTGCAAGGAGCAAGTAAGCTCAGAGTGTCCCCAGAATCAGGTCCCTTCCTTCATCTGTTCCCACTTGGATCCTGAGCCAGATAGAGACCCCGTGGGAGAGGATATACTGCGTCTCCTTAATCCTCCAGCCTCAGGCTCTCTGCCTCCCAGTGGGTAAGAACCGTTAATCTCACCAAAGGAACCAGACTGGCCGAAATGAGAAGGAATGGGGGTGGGGGTGGGGGCCAAGGCTGGGAGGGGCCCCTGGTGGGGGCCAGAGGAGATAGAGTGTAGATAAGATCTTGCCTCCAGCCAAGAGCCTGCTGGAACCAGATGGCCTGAGTGTCCCCCAGCAACGGCAGACTGAAATCAGCCAGCCTCACTCCTCACCCAGCCTAACACCCAAGGTCCCTGTCCATCCAACACAGAAGACAAATAGGACCCGTAGCTGGAGGCGGACAGTATGTGCCCCCAGGGCCCAGAAGTTAGCCCTCCCCAGACAGAGATACCTGGGCAGAGCCTGCTTTTCACTTCTGTGCCCCTTCAGCTTGGCACCTGGTAAATGCCTATTGAATTAAAAGCCATAGGAGGCACTCAGGAAAAGGATGTGAAAGGCTGGTCTTCACCCCAGGGCTGCTCCCCTGCATTAACAAGGGCAACTTTTTGCTAAAAATTGATCCAGAATAATCTACCCTGAGCCATCTGGCAAGCCAGCAGCTAGGGCAGGACTGTCAGCCAGTGCCTCCTGGGCTGGCCTGGCCTGCAGAGGCCAAGCCGGATTCCTGGGGGACTTCTCTCTCTCCTGGGTGATTTCTGAGGGTATTGTGATGAGCCTGAGATGAACAGCTCCTGGCAGGACAGGGCCCCAGACCTGCCACAGGGGCTTTGGGGACAGCCCAGACTGGTGGGGGACCTCTGGAGTCTGTGAGTCAGTAGCCCTCCCCCACCCACACCACACCCCAGGTTGGGTCCTCACCCAGAAAGCAGAGATAGGCTTGGCTTTGTGCGTGTGGCTGTGTGGCTGTGTGGCTGTATGCACTTGCATGCCCCGTTTGTGTGTGCCCCAGGGTGGCTTGGAGCAGACGGGACTTTTGTGTGTGTTGGGGGGGTGGGGGCGGCGCATGCACTGTGTGCAGTAGTGAGTGTGTGCTGGGGTCAGGGACCTGGATAAACATCCTCCTAGAGGACAGGAAAGGGTGGTTAATTGGATC